CGCACCGCATCACGGATCATTGCTGCCCACGCTCGTCGGTCTGTCGCGAGGTCGCACGAGATGGTAAGCCAGTCGCGGTTCCAGCGGCGGAGGCCGACCACATGCGGGCCGGAAAGTAGCGCCAGATCCTCCTTGATCGTTGAGGCCCACGTCTTCAGCTGTCCGCCTATCCGCTTCCGCCAGGTGGACGGCGGTGTTGAAAGGAGAACGTCCCGTATCAGCTCCCCTCTCGACCGGCGCGCAGCGTGTCGAACCATCGCAGACGCCGTTGAAGAAGGACTGCGGGCAGAGGGCGTAGACTGAGGCGGCGGCGGAGCTCGGTGGTAGGGACCCGGTCGACGCGTCGGCAGTGCAGGATGCGACGGAGGCAGTCGTTGTCGAACACCTCCAGTTTGCGCTCCAGTTCAAAACGCAATCGTCAGGCCACGAGTGTTTTTTTTTCTCGGCTATTTATATATACGGGTTAGTGGTACATTGTAGGTTGTCTCTTTTGGAGGTTATTTTGCCGGAAGTCGTTTATTTGTTTATTTATTTAGGTTAAATTATTTTTCTTGTTTTTATTTATTTTTATTTATATTTCTTATCTTATATATATATATATAGTTTGCATAGTGGAGTACCGACCATATAAATATGGTTGGTACCGGGAAGACGAGAAAAGGAATAAAGAGATTCAATCCAGAGACTCTGCCCGACTGCGACTAAGTCAACACATTCTCCAGGAACGGTCTTCCCAAGAATATACAAAAGACTATATGTAAATATTGTGTACCTTTCTTGTTTCAATACATTTTGTTCTAAGTACATTTTGTGTTGTATTATTATTCCATGCATTAGTCAAGTTTCAACAATTATCTTGTTTTTTCTAACGGTTAATTTATCGGGATCGGTTTGTTTGTTTATTTATTTATTTGGATTAAATTAGATTGATTTATTTTACTTGTTTATTATTTGTTTATTATACTGTATATTTTTATTTACTCTTTTCGGTTTTCGATTTTTAAGTAACGTAGTATTTTTTATCGAGGCCTCGCTTACATTTTTTACAAGCAGCAGCAAAAAAGCACCTGTTATAATGAAAGCTGTCATGCTGGTATAGCCAGAAATAGTGGTTCCTGTGTGCTATCCTGTCTGGACATTCTAGTGTGAACCATGGAGAGAATTTCACCTGGTATTTCCGAGAACGAATGAAAGCGTCCATGTTGGCTTTGACCCAAGAAGAAACCTCATTTTTCATTTGGGAGATTGAATCTGTCAGTCAAAGGAGTGTCTCGAAGAAAATCCAGGAATGAAATCCAATCAGCAATGCTGGTACAGGAAACAGGTCTTATGAATAGGGAGCTACTGTTTAATGGACACTTCGAAGGTAGATATCAATAGTTACCATAGTGTGGGCCGAGTTACCAAGAGGGCAGTATAGTGAAGCTTGGCAATAGTGAGGAGAGGAGGTAAGAAATAGACCCAATTGAGAAACATACTGCTCGGTTTGACTAGGGAAACAAGTGGGGAACACTATTTCGGTGAGGGATTGGGCAATGGAAAATTTAATGGCTGTATGCCGGCAACATCAGTACCTTTAGAATGTCTCAGACACGTTTCATGGTGAGCATTAAAGTCACCGAAGACAAAGATGTTCGTAGATTTATGGAGAGAAAGGGCCTTTTCTGTACTGTCAGCTATTGCGTCTAATATACTGCAGTCTTTTGAAGAGGGTGAGCGATAAAGGAAAAAAGAGATAGCTGAGTGAGTTTAGTTACGAGAGACAGAAGCACATGAAAGAGTAGTCGGCAGTCTTGTGAAACAGTCCCGTGGCCATCTGAATATTATCCCGGATGTAATGCCTGTATACAGGCAACATCAGTACCTTTGAAATATTCCAGCCACGTGTCGTGGTGAGCATTAAAGTTACCGATGACAAAGATATTCTCAGATTTATGGAGTGAAAATGCCTTTTCTATACTGTCAGTGACTGCGTCTAATATACTGCAGTCTTGGGAGGAGTGGGAGCGATAAAGGAAAAAGAGATAGCTGAGTGAGTTTAGTAGCGAAAGACGGAGCCACATGAAAGAGTAGCCAGCATCCTCGAGAGAAAGTCCCCCTGGCCCTCGGCAGATTATCCCGGATGTAAACACCAACGCCATGTGAATGCTGGAATCTTTTCGGCAAAAAGGAATTCGTTAATTGCAATGGAAGAATTCAAGTTGGTTTCACAAAGGGCAAAGATATCTGTTGACCGTTCCCGGAAGAGGAATTCTACTTTGCGGAAGTTGGAACGGATATCGCTAATGATAGAGAACGAGAGATTGAGAAGTGGTAGTTTTTTGTTTTTTTTTGTTATTTGGTTTATATTATTTTATTTTTGTTGTGATTTCCATGAGATATGATTTAGGGGAGAGCTGAAAAAGACCATCAGAACTGTCACTCACTCTCGTCAATGGGGATACAAACCAGAACAGTGCGAACAGTGCATAATGCGGCCTCAGGGTTGCCTACCGGAAATACGTGCCGGGACACCAACCCATACGCGACATGGCACCAGAAGTACCTCGATATGCAACTGTTGTTCGGAACCGCCTCTCTAAGAGTTACAAAAGAGTTCAGGCTCCTAAGGTCCAGTTTGGAAGCTGCAGCCAGCAAAATGCCAACACAGTATCCTCATAACTGAAAGTTACAGCCACTGGTTAGTCTGATCAACAAAGATTCAAGGCAGTTAAATCATTGAGGCCCTGGTAATAGAAAGAAAGAAAGAGAACCGCTAAACCATATCTAGAACAGGGAAAAAGGAATGAACCTACTCCTGTTTAATAGACATGGAAGGAGTGTGGACCGGGCGATAGGTGAGCCTATCTACTCATATAAACATGTAAGAAAAAACTGGGTGAGAATTCATATTAAGTTATGACTTAGTATATGTCCTGAGGTACTACCAACTAAAAACTAGGATGTTAAGACTTAATGAACTCTTGTCGCGTCCTAATTTTCAGCATCGATAAGAAACACTGTACATTCTAAATTAAACAAGTTGGGGGAGGGGCTGAAGTAAGAAGTTTGATAATTAATTGCAGTGGAGAGAACAAAATACACACGACAAAGTGAAGGACATGTGAAAACATCGCAGTCTAGAGCAACAACACAACAACAGAAAATTAACAATTAAAATAAAATTCGAAGACTGACACAAACATTTAAACATCTACAACAAGAAGCAAAAAGTAATTTACATACGGGTTCGTCAAATGCTTCCTTTCAGTCTTGAACGACGGACGAATTTATCAATGTTGTTTGGAGAAAAATTATGGGCTTTCCTCGGCCAGCACTTAATGAGCGATGGGTAGGTGGGTGTTTCTGAGGAGGCCAAATTAGTTCACTAGTTATTGGTGCTACCAGTGTGAAGGAGAAGACATGCAGACACACATACACACACAAGCATATATATATATATATATATATATATATATATATATATATATATATATATATATATAGTGTGTGTGTGTGCAAATATATAGAAAATAGGAAAAGAACTCGTTAGGTAAATAATCCAAAATTCTTTAGTATTTTTTGTTATTATTTTTAAAAATAGTGCTCGATACAAAAGTAGAGCATAAATATAATTATTTATTTAAAATATGATTCCAACACGCTACATAAGAGTTCTCATGTTTCCAAAGCAAGAACCGAAAACTTCAATATAATTATTTGAATTAAATTGAATTAAAGTAAGCTCTGTTCCATCTTCAAGCGAAATTTTTGGGGAAAACAATTAAAATTTCGCTTGAAGATGGAACAGAGCTTACTTTAATTCAATTTAATTCAAATAATTATATAGAAGTTTTCGACTCTTATGTAGCATGTTGGAATCATATTTTTAAATAAATAATTATATATATATATATGTATATATATATATATATATATGCACTGAAATACAAAAGTATTGGATGAACTTGAAAGAAGAATGGAAATAAATGTAAAAACAAAAAAAAAACACTTAGAGTAATTGAAAAAAGAATTGAATCAATTATCAAACTTATAATTTGAGAAACTTTTACAACGAATGCCAAAGATTTGTGCTGCAGTAATCAAGACTAAAAGAGGACATTTTGACGAGAGCAAAATGTTTTTTTTTTTTTTGGCAAAATAATTTCTAATAAAAAATCATGTCTCACTATTTTTAACCATGTATAATAAGATTCTCTAATTTAAAGCAGAAAACAAGTATATTTTGGGCCAATTTTAAAAATTAGCAGGGTTCGCCAAAAATTTTTGAACTGTAATGTATATATATATATATATATATATATATATATATATATATATATATATAATGAGCTCTCCCGTCGGTTTCGACGCATGAGGATCTGACCACTTCACAAATGGATTCAGTTATGAATTTTGTGCGATAATCTTAAGACTCGCAAAGGAGCCCGCATATGGAGCAAGAGTGAGGATTTTGGGATGAGGTCAATGTTATGTTGGCTAATCTTTTAGATCTTGCTCTCACTTCTTGAAGACGATTCAGACTAGCAGATTGAAATCCGCTGAGTCCACTATATATATATATATATATATATATATATATATATAAATATATATATGCAAACCGAGTCCTTTCTTAACAATTTTTATGTTATATTTCAAATCATTTTCTTCGCTTACCATGAAATTGCATGTATAAATTGTTCGATGATATATATTATTATAAGCCATTATCAAATAATTTTCTGTCTTTTTAAGCTTCAAATATCGCGTTTTCACGCGTCATGTCTGCCTTGAAAGTATCGAGTCTCAGTGCAAATGTTCATCTTACCGTGGTGCTTTTTTGTGTTTTCTGTTTTGAAATTTATTTAGCATATCTGTGGCTCAATTTGCTAGAACGCGGCTGGTCTGCTGAAAAATCATTTAAAAATTAGGTTTAGGTATTCGGTTCGCTTCCTTCTCAAATATTATGATTAGTTATTAGGTCGGTATTTCTATATATATAAACTGATAAATATGAATTAAATTTGATCGATAGTGATAAAAAGAATTAGATAGATAGATAGATAGATAGGAACAGACTGACATAGAAAGAAAGACAGAACGAAATAGACTGAGATAGATAAATATAAACAAACTGAGATAGATAGATAGATAGATAGATAGATAGATAGATATGAACAGACATAGATAGATAGATAGATAGATAGATAGATAGATAGATAGATAGATAGATAGATATGAACAGACTGACATAGATAGATAGAAGGAAAGAAAGAAAGAAAGAGATAAATAGACTGAGATAGATAGATAGATAGATAGATAGATAGATAGATAGATAGATAGATAGATAGATAGGAACAGACTGACATAGAAAGAAAGACAGAAAGAAATAGACTGAAATCCGTAGATAGAAAAACATAGCCTGAGATAGATAAATATAAACAGAGATAGATAGATAGATAGATAGATAGATAGATAGATAGATAGATAGATAGATAGATATGAACAAACTGACATAGATAGACAGAAAGAAAGGAGATAAAAAGACTTAGATAGATAGATAGATAGATAGATAGATAGATAGATAGATAGATATGAACAGACTGACATAGATAGATAAATAGATAGATAGATAGATAGATAGAAGGAAAGAAAGAAAGAAAGAAAGAAAGAGATAAATAGACTTAGATAGATAGATAGATAGATGAGGAAATGCCTTAATCTATGGTGTCAAGACTTATATAGATTGGTCTATGTTTATAAGTATCCCCCCTCCCCCAATGGTTTGCTTGCAAATTATAATCGAACGGCGTCTTATCCCGTTGTCAAGGAAGTTTGTTTTCAGTTTCACTTACTAAAAGATTTATTGGCCTTTTACTGAAGAAAAAGACGGTCTATTTCAATAAACGGACGGCGTATTTCATTTTTTGGTGAATTTTATTATATTATTACCCAACTTTATTTGAAGAATTCGAAACACAAAAACAACAAACTTAATTGGTTGACCCGTTACTTCACTACTAATTTCCTTAGAGTTACGTAGCGGATAAGGTATTTTTACTAATATATATGTGGCTGGCCACTAGTATAAAAATATGCTAGCCAATCCCTGTTATAGACGCCTGCTCAGGCACATTTGTGTTTATTCAACGCCCACCGAACAAACACACATACACACACCTATATATATATATATATATATATATATAGATAGATAGATAGATAGAGAGTGAGAGAGAGAGATACAGATAGAAACAGAGAGAATTAATATAAGTAAACGAATTGTCAATTACCTGATTGATGTTGTTTTCAACAACCCGACACCACAGGCGTCTCTCCCTCTCTTTATATATTTATATTTATATATATATATATATATATATATATATATATATATATATATATATATATATATATATATATATATATATATTTAAATATACTGTTTTAAAACTGTTTTGATTTTGCTTACCAGACGTTTCCTCTGTAGTTATATAATGGTTCTGTGTAGGATACAGGTTCGATTCCTTCTGGAGGACGACCAGTTTCTATGAAAAATTTTCGGACATTCAGGCCGATAAATGTTGTTAATACTGTTTATTATAAACAGAACATTCACTTAAATATTTATATTTTTAAAAATAAAGTATAAACAGAAAATATATTAAAATAATTGTCGACATATGAGGGTCAAGCAGATCAGTTTCCAGGAAACCGACAGCCCGACACCGGCACAT